CTGCCTGCCCGGGGCATGGCCTACGAGCACAGTGCGCTGCTGGGGCTGCAGGGGGCACGGAGCCTGGGAAAAGGAGCTCTTTGGGGAAAAAGGTGCAGAAAAAGAACTTTGGAAACTCTGTTTGACCCTGACCAAACCCACTTTTTCTTGGGTATTGAGTTCTCGCAGCGCGTTTTGAGCTGGGATGGCTGCCTTGGGTTTGTGTGTGCGCTCGCCTGCGAGCTCTGTGCCCCTGTATCTAGCAACGAGGCCAGTTCCCTGGAGCTTTTTGAAGAGTAAATACTGTCACTTTTCTGGTAGATCTCTGACCTCTCTTTGTGGTGTTCTGCAGTTTGAGCCAGCAAGAGCTGGTCAGCTCAGCAAGGCGCAGCTGCGCTTGTTGATGAGTCTTTCCTTGTCCCTGCAGTACCGAGCGTGGAATACACCCATATTCCACATCCAAGGCAACTGTGTGGAGCAGACTTTCTGCAGTGAACAGACTCTGTTTTTTTTTCCCCTCGATTTTCCTCCCAGGTCCAATTGCTACACGAGTAGGGAGCAGAATGAGGAGCCAGAGCCATCTGATTTCGTTAGGCCAACCAGGGTTTGATCTGTGCTGGTTAACTCCAGACATTTGAAAATTGCTTCCCCTGGAAATCATCTAATCTCATCTCTCTGTCCTTAAAAATGGCCTAAAATGCTTGTCCCGCAGCACCACCTTTGGTCCTTAAATCCCTATTATTGCTTCTCCTTTGCTTGCATTTTGTCTGTCTACGGTTCTGCTGAGGTTAGACTTTTTTTTGTTGTTTTCTTTCACTGCCTGCCTTTGGTTAATGAGACATTTTTATGACTCTTCAGCGTTCTGGGTGCTTTTGTCAAGTGCCGTTTAAAAGTATAATGCGACAAATGCTGCCTTACTTTGTGCAAATGCCCGGGGGGAGCAAAACTGGAACATTTCCCAGCGCGTCCCTCTTGCCTTGTCATGCTAATCCCCAGGCAGGCTCTTGAGACGCTCGAGCTAAAGCCTCTTGCTGCCACATTTGTCCCTGCCGTTTGCCGGGAAGCAGACGGTGCCATGGGGAAAGGGGGAACGCGAGGCCCAAGCCGAATCTCTGCCCTTCCCTGAGCAGCGGGGTGTCCAGCTGCACTTTGAACCCCGGGGAGGGCGGAGGGAGGCATGGTGGAGGCGGCTGGCGCTCTGCCCGGCTGCGGCTTTCCAGCTGAGAGGGACCAGGCTCCGCAGCACCCCTCGCTGTGCTCCGCGTGGGACGGAGGGTCGGAGCCCGTGGGGCAGGATGATGCTCTG